ATATATATGTTTTGTTCACAAAATCCCCTTTTTGCATCATGCAAATGTTCACAAAATCCCCTTTTTGCATCATGCAAATTTCTTGGTATGTTTAAACTTTTTTCTGCTCTTTTGCAAATATTTCCTATTTTCTTGTAATTTTCGGCCATTTTCAGCTTTTTCTTGACACATTTTTTTCTACTTTTCATTTTTGTTTTCCAACTTATAGCAAATGTCAGATGTTCAAATTTAACTCACTAGGTTTTGCTATTAAACTTTTTCAGCTTGACCTCAGCAGCTTTCAGCAAAAATCCTTTCGCATTAAGAATTCACACTGCGTTTTCACTGGAAGTGCAAATTCTCTTGTTATAATATATTATTTTATTATAAATATTAAAAAAATATATTACTTATGCTATATAAAATCCCAAATCAAAGGAAGCTAATCAGTCAAAATGCCTACCATTGCCACCTTCGCCATCATCATCACTAAAGGGGAAAAAAAGACAGGAAACCCTAATGAAGCTGAAGTCTCATGGTTAGTTTTACCTGAACTCTTCTGACAGACCGCCGGGAAAGGAGATGGGATTTCAGAGCTGAAACTTAAATTTTCTTCATCGTCCTCTTGTTTCCCACGAGGACTGACAGGTGTGGGCGGAGGGACAGCAGGAGGTGAGGGTGGAAGAGGAGGGGGTCGTGGGGGAGGAGGGGCTGGGGGAATCGTGGTGAAGGAGGATTCTACATGAGCCAGGCCTCCCCAAGGAGTGATGGTGGTGTCTGAGAGGAGGATGGAGGGCGGCGCTGGGAGAGGATGGGAGGAAGAGCCCCCCCGCTGCTGCTGGGCCTGTTTTTTACGACCGGTCTGATGGGGAACTGGAAAGACAGAAAAAAAGGTGACTAGTTGCTTGAATGATTTTTTAAATGAAATTTAAAGAAAACAGTTAAAAATATTGTAGGAAAATTGATGTAAAGAATCTGAATGTCAAAACAGTCCAGTTCAGACCAACTAAATAACAACGCAATACATTTATTTTAGATGTAAACTGTGTCACGTTGAGTCAAACATGTGATTTGACCTGTTTTGCTCCCAGATGAGTGAATAAAAGGCAGGCGGTTGCGAGACATCCAAAACCTGGGAACCAAAATTAGCATAAATATGAACCAGTCCAAATCTCTTAAAACCATGTCTGCACTTTGTTCTTATGTATACAAAACGCACAGAAATGTGTAAGTTTGTTTATATAAATATGACAGTGTTGTCATTTTTTAAGTTTTAAACTTATCTGATTCCTTTTTGTTACGCCATTTTTCTATTTCCAATTTACCTCATTCAATAAATGAAAGATGTCATGGTTCAAAGCATCATTTATGTTTAAAAAGACGTTTCTCCTTAGAAATATTTTCTAGAAGGGTCAAACGCTGTAACATTGGATAAATTTACCTCCCAAAGTGTCACCATCAGATTATAGTTTTTACTTCTTTGTTTTCGTCTGTTTCATCAGACTGAGTTGTTGTGTGTCTGTGTGTGTTTGTGTGTGCGTACCTCTTTGAAAGATGCAGAAAGTCACTCGTTCTGCACTTTGACAGCTGCACTCCTCTGCCTCTTTGCTCTCACTAAAACGTCCTTCGCAGTTGCACGCCGAGACTCGGGTCATCAAGAAGATGCAGGGACAGTTTTCCTACTGGCACTTCATCAGTGCAGATGGTGATGACTTCTCAGGTTGAAATCCTTACGGTTTGTCTTCATTGCACGTTATTTGAGATGAAAAGAAAATGCTGACAATGCAGCTTTCCATAAAAAAAAAAAAATCAAATAAAACTTGCAGTTCTGGCAAACATCTGTTTGTTCTTCAATGTGCAGTTTTAACTATCATCTGGAAGCCTCTGAATCTGTCAGTCGTCTCACCAACCTTCACCTTCATCCTGTCCTCAGCCTGGCTTTCATTCTGCCTCCTCGTCCTTTTCACTCATGCTTTTCACTTTCTATATGACAGCAAAGGGCACAAAGGTCACACAGGGAAACTGGATCCTGGGAGCTTTCATCTGCTTCGTCTTCATGTTCCAACTCTTCAGCCCACCCCCACCCCCCCACTCACACTTCCCCCACCCTCTCCTTCTCATACTTCACTATAAGCGCTGTTAGTGAAATGGGTCCTTGACAAAAAGTAACGTGAGATGAGAATTACATTTTAAAATATTTATGGATACCGTCAGCTTGCCCCTTCAAGGGCTCTGACCGAAATAAACAGGTGGTATGCATTTGTTTAGGCATAATGTGCAAAAGTTTTAACCCAAATAAGGCAGACTTTTTAGTAATATTTTTAAGAGCTGCAGTTTTATAAGGTTTATGGTGATTTTCCAAAGTTTTTCTTTTAAACTTTGTATTTTTCCACTTTTTTGCCAACTCATTCTACCTTAACACCATAATAATAATAATAATAATAATAATAATAATAATAATTTTGATGTATATACATAAATATTAATATAATAATTTAACTGCAAAGTTCTAGTCTGTGTTTATCACTGACAATGGCAATAAAACGGATTCTGATTCTGAATTTATGTTGTAACACGTGCTTTAAAATGTCAGGAAAAATGAGTAAAGGTCAAAAGAAAGTGTCGCGCTACAGCAGAAGCAAAATATATGAAAGTCACAATTACTAAACAAGAAAACCTCAGAGACCTCACGTTACCTTTCAGTTACTTTGTCAACTTTTCAGCTAAGAGCTCTGTAGAAACCACTAAGCAGAAATCTGTATGCCTTTACAAAAAAAAGTGCCAAGAAACTGACCAAATAAACATTTTTACAAGCACAAGTGCGCACCCACAGGTGACTGTGAATCCAGACCAGCAGTCTTTGATCCAGCATCATGTGCACACTCTAATCTGCAATTTATGACATTTAAAGTGGCGTATGTGAACGGGCTGCAAGCTGTCTCACACTTCATCAGACACAGTTACATTTGCATTCCAGAGAGACGCAGAGAAGGGAGAAGAAATATGCAAATGGCATAAACAGTTTCATGTCAAACTGCCACATGAAGTGCATCAGACTCAGCACTCACTACTGCAATAAGGCTTCTGCAACTAAGATTTGGGTTTCATGTTTTCATGAACCATGACCATAAACTCTCATCTTTGTAGAGAACCTGCCTAAAACTGAGTCTTTGAAAAAGTGGACATAAAAACAAAAGAAAGGAATTTACCTAAATCAATATTGACAAGCTTCAACATCTCTGGGGCTGATGAGATAAAACTTGGAGCTTTTTGACCAGTAACATCAGTCATTAAGGGTACCAACAGATTTAATGAAGATGTTCTCAAATAATTTAAACATTTCAAATAAAGGATTTATTTTTCAGATGGATGAGGCACAAAATACTGCATCCAAAGTAATTCCTGTTCTCTTTGAGCAGTTTGTTGTTCTTTTACCAAAGAATGGCACATATGGTGCACACACCAGATGATTTTAATGTTCTTATGCATCGGCAATGAAAAATGTAAGCTGTCCTTGATGAGCACCAAAAAAGCATTTTTGCGTCATTTCATTTCACTGCCTTTCATTTGTTTTGTTGGAACTTTTATCAAAGTTTTGTAATAAACAATATTTTTTGTGAACTTGCTTTATAGAAATGAACAAATAGCATAAAAATCATCATAAACAACTTTATTTTATTAAAAAAAAAAAACTATTTGATTAGTGGAAAAGCTTCCAAGATGATTTTTTTTAAATTATCAACACATCTTTAACATTGTTCACACATGTCCTTTGGAAAATAAAAACTCTTGATTTTCTGGAGGTTGTTTCTGAAAACCATTCTCCTTTCTAATGTTCTCTGTGTCCATTTCTGAAAATCTGAGTCTCAGTAGCTGGAAGCCCTGGCCACAGACCAGCACCCATCCCATCTTCTGTCTCTTTTCCCTGCTCCCACAGGAAACCACAGAACCCGTCTTCTCATCTGTCTCAGTTGTCTCGCAGCCTTTTCTGTCACAAACTGGGTCAACATTTCCCTCGTATCCTGCGTTAACCCGCTCGGTCTCAAATCCTGTCGTTCCCGTCTCGTCTCCCTCACCCCCCTCCCACACTGCGAGCCCCGCAGCATCAGCAACGTGTGAGAACAGCGCTCCGCTGTGGCTGATGCCGGTACGGCCGACTCTCCATAGGCAAACCCTCTGATCCGAGGAGGTGGAGACCAGGAGGCCTGGGCTCAGGAGCTTCAGGGCGGTGAGGGGGCCAGCGTGGGCCAGCAGGACGTGGGACTGGGAGAGCAGCTGAAGCTGAATCTGATCAGAAGGTTCAACATGAGCTTGCGGTAACGCGCGACGGTGACAGATCTGTGAGAATCCTCTGCTGCCGCCGAGCTTCCCATCTTCTGGGTACCACACCCTAACTGTGGACACTGTCAGCTGCCCGTCATCTCCTCCACTTGCAACAGTTACTAGGCAACCCTCTCGTCTTCCCAGTTTCTCTGCCCAAACAGCCAATGAGTTGACGCCACTCTGGTGGGCGGGAATGTCGAGGCCGGGGATTGGTGCGGTTGGAGCACCACTTGAATTATCCATCGATGAAAACTGAGCTTGAGTCAAATGCCACACAGCGATTTTCCCGTCTGTAGCAGCACTAAAGAGCAGCTTAGACCTGCGACAGAAGCACAGTAATATCACTTTTAATGGTACGTTTATTTAAACGGTACAGTCAAAATGAGTTTATCATAAGACTTAGGCATCTTAAATTAATAAAGCAGTGCATTGACATAGCATTTCATAAAAAGAGCACAGCTATTGCCTACCTTTCATGGCAGCAAGTGACATTTATGTGGATCTGAAAAACAAGCTCACCTGTTGCCTTCGTCATCCTCCAGGCTGCAGGTGGCGACACTGAGCACACAGCGCTGGTGGTAAAATATCTCCCACAACAGGTCAATTCGATTTTTAACCTCACTGACAGAAAACAGTCTGAAAAAACAATTACAAAACTGCATGTAGGCAGGTCAATTAATGACATTATTATCTTACATGAAGACAGAAATGCCTAATTAGAACAATGAAGACGCAAAAATGCTCTTTATTTCTTAACTGTAAGTCTTAAACTACCGGTATTACAGTGAACCTCCACAAAGTTGCATTTCACAGTTTGCAGACTCGGTCTTGCGCAGATTTTTTCATGAAACCCAACTACCCGTAGTTTGCGGTAATCACCGTGATATTGCGGAAACAGGAAATACAGTGCTGTAAGGAATGTCAGTTTTTCTTTTCTCTTGATTTTTCTAGCTAAATTATTAAGAACAATTTAATTTACAAATTTGAAACAAAAATATTTTTGTAAATAAAGTTCCAAAAAATTAAAAACAAAACAGTTCAGTACTCATGCCATGTGTGTGGACACATGGCATGAGTACTGTGTGGTGTGTAGCTGCTAACTGCTTAGAACTTGTGTGTTTTTATTTAGTTCTTATCACATGCCACCCCAAAAGCATTTTAGGTCTTTTCAAGGCCAAATCCAATATTTGCGGGTTTTTTTACACAATTTTTGGGTATTATAAGAATGTTACCCCCACAAAGATCAGGGATTCACTGCATATAAATTTGCACGTGAGGACAAAATGCAATTACAACAGGTAAAATAAGTATTGAACACGTCATCATTTTTCTCATTAAATATATTACTAGAGGTGCTAATGACATGAAATTTTCACCAGATGTRGGTAACAACCCAAGTGATCCATACCTACAAAGAAATCAAACCATAAATGTCCAGAAATGAAGTTATTTGTAATAATGTGGAATGGCACAGGGAAAAAGTATTGAACACACTTACTGAAATTTATCTAATACTTTGTACAAAAGCCTTTGTTGTCAATGACAGCTTCAAGACGCCTCCTGTATGGAGAAACTAGTGGCATGCATTGCTCAGGTGTGATTTTGGCCCATTCTTCCACAAACAGTCTTCAAATCTTGAAGGTTTCGTGGACCTCTTCTATGAACTCTGATCTTTAGTTCTTTCCATAGATTTTCTGTTGGATTCAGGTCAGGTGATTGGCTGGGCCATTCCAGCAGCTTTAGTTTCTTTCTCTGAAACCAACTGAGAGTTTCCTTGACTTTGTGTTTGGGCTCATTGTCTTGCTGAAATGTCCAGCCACGTTTCATCTTCATCATCCTGGTAGATGGAAGCAGATTTTTATCAAGAATGTCTCTGTACATTTTTCCACTCATCCTTCCTTCAATTATTTGAAATTTGCCAGTACCATATGCTGAAAAACAGCCCCACACCATGATGTTCCCACCTCCAAACTTCACTGTTGGTATGGTGTTTTTGGGCTGATGTGCAGTGCCATTTGACCTCCAAACATGATGTGTATTCTGGCATCCAAACAGTTCAATGTTGGTCTCATCTGACCAGACTAGATTCTCCCAGTATTACACAGGCTTGTTTAAATGTTGTGCAGCAAACTTTAAAGGAGCTTCAACATGCTGTTTCTTCAGCAGTGGAGTCTTGCGTGGTGAGCGTGCATACAGGCCATGGTGGTTCAGTGCATTACTTATTGTTTTCTTTGAAACAAACATACCTGCTAATTCCAGGTCTTTCTGAAGCTCTCCACAAGTGGTCCTTGGCTCTTGGACAACTCTTCTGATAATTCTTTTCACTCCTCTGTCAGAAATCTTGTGAGGAGCACCTGGTCGTGGTCAGTTTATGGTGAAATAATGTTCTTTCCACTTCTGAATTATGGCCCCAACAGTGCTCACTGGAACCTTCAGAAGTTTAGACATTCTTCTGTAACCGATGCCATCATTATGCTTTGCAACAATAAGGTTGTGAAGGTCTTGAGAGAGCTCTTTACTTTTACCCATCATCAGATGGTCCTTGTGTGATACCTGGCCATCATTTGGGACTGAACCAGCTGATGTTAATTTGCACTGACAAGGGGCAGGCTTGCTTTCTAATTACTGAGAGAGTTCAGCTGGTGTCTTGGCTTTCCATGCCTTTTTACACCTCCCTTTCTTCATGTGTTCAATACTTTTTCCCTGTGTCATTCCACATTATTACAAATAACTTCATTTCTGGACATTTATGGTTTGATTTCTTTGTATGTATGGATCACTTGGGTTGTTACCAACATCTGGTGAAAATTTCATGTCATTAGCACCTCTAGTAATATGTTTACTGAGAAAAATGATGACGTGTTCAATACTTATTTTACCCGCTGTATATGTTCAATACATGTACATTTTTCCAAAGACAAAGGTGATTTGAATAAAAGGCAAACAAGAATCAGAAACTGCAAACTATCATTTCCGTTTTGCTGAGTGTTTAAAATCATTATCCATTTCCATTTTCTTCTGCTTATCCGGGGGCAGCAGCCTAAACAGAGACCCAGACTTCCCTCTCCCCAGCCACTTGGGCCAGCTCCTCTGGGGGAATCCCAAGGTGTTCCCAGACCAGCTGAGAGACATAGTCCCTCCAGCGTGTCCTGGGTCTTCCTCTGAGCCTCCTCCCAGTGGGACGGGCCCAGAACAGATCACCAGGGAGGCGTCCAGGAGGCATTCTAACCAGATGCCTGAGCCACCTTAACTGGCTCCTCTTGACGTGGAGGAACCTGGTAAAATGACTAAGATAATAAAAATACTTCTGATTCTGCTTTACTTCAGCTTCCAAGAATAAAATGAATGAAACCAACCTGACAGCCCCATCACTGCAGGACAGAGCAAAGAGGACACAGTCCACCCTTTCCTCCAGAACCTCTATAGAGACATATCTAAAAACACACAAATGATTGAACATAAATCATACAAACAGAACAGTGCCAGCTCAAAACTTATTATTAACTATAATAAAACTCGCCTCGTTTCGGGGTTCATTTTCACCGTTTTGTGTCGGTTCCGCCTCCTTTCCCATTGTATGTCCAATCGGTGGCTTGCTACCTGGACCACCTGACAGGAGGGAGCCCGTCTCTGTCGGTCCCAGAGGATCACCAGCCGGTAACACTGGATCTGAGCCCGGCCGCCGGCTGACAGCAGCAAGGCAGACAGAGTATGTTTCTGCTGTTTGCGCCCTCCCTCTGGGCGTGTTATGGCTGTCACTGTGCGCACACCTGAGATGTGGTCGGTGAGAACTGACAGGACTCTGACGAGGCCAGAAAGTGGATTCAACGCCAGGACAGCTAAGCTGGTGTCCTCTCCTCCTGTAACGACTATCTCCCAACATCTTTTCTCTCCTCCCACCTCACATCCCTCATTTTCACTGTCGCTTTTATCACGCTTTGTCCGAACGTCATCCCCAAACTCCTCGATCCTGCCCAGCCTGCAAACACACCAGATCCCCCTCCCATGGATGGAGTCCCTCAAGCTCCACCCCGCAGTCTCTCCCTCCTTCTCAGCCCCGCCAAGCGTCTCACCGGGGGGCTGCCAAGTCAGAACTGCTCCCTGCTTAATGAAGACCAATGCTCCATACCCGGGCCAAATCCCTGCGTGCGACGTCCAGAGGCTCCAAGAACGGTGCCCTCCACCACACGGCACAGACATTAGCCTTTCCTGTCTCACAGGGTCCCAAATCACGAAATGAGCAGCGTGAAAGCCGGCAATAACGAATCTGGCTTCTCTTTCTTTGGCGTCCTCTATAAAAATCTGTTCTCCATCTTCAGCCACCCACTGATCTTCACATTTCTCCTCCTCTAATAGAAATTCAGACTCAAGAAATAAAACTCTCTCCAGCCACTCCATACCTTTGCAGGCCCTCTGGACCCGGAGCACCTCCAGCTGGAGCTTTTCGTTCTGAGAACTGTCGTCTCGTCGGCTCTCGCCTGGGCTTTCGGGCGCTCGGTTCACTCTGAACACCCTCACACAGCCGTCCTTTCCGGAGCTGTAGAGCAACCCTCGGTGCTCACACACCGACGTGACGCCACCTTTCCCGTGCGCCCCAAACAAACAGCTCAGCGGCTGCAGCTCCGTCGCTCGGCTTTCCCCATCTACTTCTCCTTGTTCGTCGTCGACCCGTCCCTCGTCTCTTTCCCCACGCTCGGTGTTTGCTCCTTCCTTGAACAAAAGCAAGGAGCCTCTTCTGTCTCCACAAACCCAAAGAAGAGTCTCAGGGCTGCGCTGGAGGAGAGTGGCAGCTGTGAGCCAACGCTTAGCGCACTTAGGTAGGAGAAAAGGTGGAAGAGACGTTGCACTAACGTCTAAGAAACTGTTTTTCTTTGTTTTCACGTCGACACGCCAGCGGTAGACGAGTCCTTCAGCGCCCGATGCTAGCAAATAAACATCATCTTTATGCTTTTGCCAAATCACACTATGAATCTTCCCTGATCCACCTGTAAGTCTGATTCCGGACTCTGGATGAGAAGTAGGAAGCACCTGTAAGGATCCGCCAAGGTTTCCCACACTGCATAAATCAACCGTGGTGGCCGACTCAATCACAACAGATATTGCATCTATCACACAGTAGGAATGGAACTCTGGAGGCCCTTGCCATAATGTTTCCCACTTTCCACCTTTGTACTGGCAAATTATTCCCCTGTCAGTGCAAACTACAAACTGACACCAGCTCGTGTTTCCATCCTTCCCCCCTGCGACACAAACTACTTTTGTCGGGACGTGATTAGGAAGTTTCAGGTCCGTTATTTTCTCCACCGTCTCGTTCACGTCCTCTTTATCCCGCTCGCGGTCTTCCACCTTCCACAGCCGGACCCCGCCGTCTGCTCCCCCCGTCACCACCCACCGCTTACCGTCCCCCGTCAAGTCGCTGACCGCCAGGGCACGGATGCCTCCGGCTCGATGACCCTTCAGCGTGCGGACCACCTTCCCGCCCCCGGCCAAGTCCCAGACCAAACAGGTCCCGTCCTCCCCGGCGCTGAACACTCGTTCCGGAGTGAGACGCACCGAGAAAACTCTGGCTTGGTGACCGTAAAGGACTCTTAAACAAGTCGGGTTCAGCTCCCCGCAGTTCCCTCCAGGGCCACCTATCGTTCCGATGCCCCAGACTCGAACGCTGCGGTCGTCCGAGGCGGATGCCAGCTGTCCTTTCTCCTGTAGGTAAGAGATGCTGAAGATGACACCGCTGTGGCCCGACAGACGCCGCTCAACTGGAGCTTTAAACCCTGAATCACTCATTTCATTACATCCTCCTGGTTTCCAAATGACCAGCTGGTTGAAAACGGTCCCCCCTACCAAGACAGTATCGGCCCAGGACTCATGCACCAGAAGAAGGGCAGAATACAATAAACAACCTTCAAAACAGGAGCAGTGAACCAGCACATTTCCTGAAACAGCGTCCAGGAGAAGAGCGCCGTTGTGGGCGACAGCCACACAGAGTAGTGACCGGTTGTCTCCAGAGGACCAGCGAGCATCCAAGGCCCAGTCCCGTAGCTCCAACAGGGGACCCTGGGTCTCCAAACGCAGATGCTCCACATCCACATGGAGCCTTACCACCCTCACAGCCTTTCCTCCGAACACCGCCAAGTCATGGAAATACGGCTTTGAGATGGAGCTCCTGTCTGGGAAATAATAGCAACAAAAAAGGAGATTCTGTAAATTTATGTTCATGAATAAACGTTGAATATATCAATAAACAAACAGTGAATAGGATGACAAATAACTGGGTAATGTTTATATTTAATCATTGTTTTAATCACTTTGTCAAAAACACTTGATTTTCTGATTCAGACGTTTCAGTATAACTTGTATGATAATATTAATAATATAAAAAAAAATAAAATCCAAGGAGTGTAAGCGTCTGATGTGCTCACCATGCCTATGGGTTACTGTGGAAGAGCTCTGGGTTGGAACAGCAGCCTGATTTCTTGGTCTTATGCCGTGAATCCGGTGATGCTGGAGGACGCTCAGTGAGACACTGGCCTTAGGAAGAGTTTGGAGGCTGAACACTGACAAAACTGGACCTTCACCTGCCAGAGAGGAAAAATATGACTGTTTTAAAGAAGCATTTCACTTATGTATGAAAGGCACCACATCATTTTTAGTCATCTGATTGAGAAAGATTTTCAAAGACACATTTTGAAAACCAGCACGTGTTTGTTCCATCATTTTTGATTAATTATTTTTGCTTCTCATCTAATGCATCAGTATTCTTGTTTTCAAGCTTTTGATGCTGTTGACACCTAATCCTAACGAATATAACAATACCATAATCATTTGTAGACTGATTAGTAATATTTGTAGACCATTAAGGAACCTCTTAAAAATAAGATTGACTATATTTCTTTACTAAATAATGTTAATTATAAGTTATAAAGTTGTTGATAATAACTTGTGGACTGATCCACAATTTTTCCATTGGAATTTTCGTTTTGATCAACACAATAATATTGGCACATCACTAAAAATTACTTGCACGTTGTAAACAAAAAAGAAACTGAGCTTACCCGTAAGTAAAAACTTGTCCTGAAGGAATTCCAGACCAGTGATTGGAACTACAAGGGCGGCTGTCTCCATTTCTTAAGTTACAAAGACTTTAGTTTATGTCTTTTAGTTAGCAAAACAAGCTATCAGCAGGAGAATTTATCTATCGTTCAATATCGGCAGAAAGAAATAAAACAAAATGGTCTCCTTTACTTGCTTGCTTACATTCTTAAAGATTTAAACAAAGTTAGGCTACATTTTACAGAAGCATTCTAACAAATGTATTTAGTTGTCCACGAAGAAACGTAGCCTACATGTGTTTCAGTTCTGGTTCCTGTCATATTTTAACCAATCAAGCTACAGCGTTTGCTTCCTAAAACATGATTGGCTGAATGAATAAAATAGCCGTGTTGATTGGCTAAAACAATGCATGTGACCAATAGGCAAAGAGTTGTGATGCGTTAAAGGGTTCCATGTAGAGACTAGTGTTATTTTGATTTTCAGAGTATTTGTCATTGTGTCTGGATTCTTTCTTTTTTCTTTAGCAAAAGAAAAAAGAAAAAGAAAAAAATTAAAACATTATTATTTACTAAAACAACAAGTGTTTTATACGAGTTCTTAATATCTGAGTTTGCTTAGTATCCTATTTATATTATTATTTTTCCTTCCATGACATTTGTTAATGAGAATTTCCCAGGGAACGTGAAAGCATCACGGGGCAGATTCGGAGAGGTTTTGCTTCTGACCGTAGGTAGCAGTCCAGCTAACTTTCTAGCTAATTATGCCCGGAAAATGTAAATTCCAAGACTCCTGGCTCCAAAAGGACGCTTTTAAGGATTGGCTGGTTAAGGATGCCGGTGACATCCACTTCGCTCGATGCAGGGCCTGTTGTAAATCAATCAAACTTCAGACCATGGGCGAGGCTGCTCTCACCAGCCACGCAGGGGGAGCTGGCCACAAAGCAGCAATCCGCAAGCTGCTGGAAGGTAACCTCCTGCCGACATGCCTGCTGCTGTTGTGGAGGTTTCTGCAGCGACACATTGTTCTTGTATTGTCTGCCTCTTTTAGTTGTTGCAGTTGTGTCTTTCTGCCCCTTATATTTGTTGATAAGTAATGAACATAATGACACATTTTACCAAGTACACAATTAAAGTGCAGTCTCTGAAAAAGACTTCCATTTTGAATATTTTCAGACTTTCCCCCAAATCTAATGCCCTAAAACTACAAATGATAATTGCAAAGCCATAATTACAATTAAAATGATTGACTCCCCTTCCATTACAATTAAAGCCAGCTTTTTTATCTTTTGAGTTAAAATAACATCATGATAAAGGAAAAAGTGTATAAAAAAATCAAAATCCAACCTAAAGTCTTGCTAATGACTGCCATGTTTTTATTGTAAGCAATGATGCCATCATTTTTATATTTTCAATCACTTTTTAAAAAAAAAAAAAGTTTAGTAACAGATTGATGGCTCATTAAGTCAAACTGCTCTGGCTGTGAAAATTGTCACAGACAGTGATTTATTTGTTCTTTCTGTTATTTAGTAACTTGATGCAAAGTGATTACATGACCCAAAGAGTCTTTGGATAGAATAACTAGTTTTAAGGTTGTGGAAAATATAGATTATTAGGGGGGAAATATTAGAAATAATAAATAGGAAAAAAAAACTGAAATAAAAACCATACATTTTCTTAAGTTATTTATATGTGAGAATAATATTTTTATATAATGTATAATCATGGTTAGAATGGTGTTGAGTATGTTAGAAATTATGATATAAACTTTTAACATTTTCTACTCCCTCACACAGAAAATAACCAGTAATCAATATGCGAGAATAAACTGTAAAATTGTTTGTTTTTTGTAAATTTTGTGTTATACCAGTTTAAACCACACGGGGGCACTGTTTCCCTTTTTTTCTAATACTGTATATATTACCTCAGACCCTCCCTGTTTTCCTCTTTGTCTCTTTTTTAATTCAATGTAGGCAAATTAATAAGTGACACTGGGCAGATACATGGCAGCGTAAATCAGGTAAATACTCTTTTAAAATGTAGTAAGTTGATTTCAGTTTATTATTTTTTAAAAACATAATACGGCTAAAATGCATGCTGAAACCTAAAATTGATAATGCAGTGTTAAAACTGAATTTTTTTTAAAAAAGTGCTCCGCCTCCTTCCTAGGCAGAGAACGGCAATGAGCAAATCGCCATCTGCCTCCAGCGTGACGCTTTGGAGAGAATAACTGGCAGCAACTGGTCCGACCTGCACCCGAGCACCACCACAAACTCCACCTCCCACAATGCAACACTTCCTACAGCATATTTCACAGCACCAGGTGAATGTGCAAGCTGCTGTATCATTTGTTGCCTGGAAATGCACTTAAAACTTTATGCTGGGATGGGAAAAAAAAAGCAACAATTTGTCTGATTAAGCTGCGACAGTTACGAGTCCGTTGTCTTTAAGATAATTATTATAGTATTAAATAAAAACGTGAGAAAAAAAAAGAGTTTAGATCCTTTAAGCACAGGTTCTGTGTGAAAAATATGCTGTTCATTATAACAGCCTTAATAAAATCATTTGCTTAACAATCTAGTTATTAAAGTTCAGGTAACATGAGCATGCTTGTGGCCTGTTGGTCCAAACTATAACTTTTAATTGCTTTCATCCTCTAATTGAAGTTTGGACACTGAGGTCATTAATAATTAAGAGGTAGACTAAGGTGGGGGTTATATTCTGTGCATGTTTATGAGGACATGAATTGATTAAAAGTGTCAAAAGTCAACAATTATTAAATATTAATTATGTCGTGTTGAGGTACACAAAGGAAATATAAAAATATGTTGACAAGAGCCACACAGAATCCAAGCTGCATGTTTCTCCAGTCCACATTCAGTGGTTGAAAACCAGAGCTTGTGTTCTTTATTTTTTTATTTTATTATTATTGTTATTATTATTATTATTTTCACATTGGAGAGAATTTACAAAGCAGCCACCACTTATCCTTTCCTCCCTCTGATCACAAAGGCACTTCCAGGCTGAGTAACCAGCGTCTCCACCTGTCAGACTCGGAGAAAGAGGACCCTGGCCACCACCTGGCCCTGCACGACACCTTGGACCTGTCGAGGCTGGAGCACCAGCAGAGGGCGGACGCTCTGGAGGAGCAGCAGCAGATGAAGATTCTGGAGTGGGAGAACCGGATGAAGGTGCTCGCCTGGGAGCAGGACCTGATGAGGGAGAAAACGAAGGCGGCCCGGCAGAAACACAAAGCTCTCAGGATGAAGAAGATTTACTACAGGGCCAAGTTGAAAAAGCTGGGTGAAGACGTGCCACCTTCCTCTGCTAGCAGCGGCGACGACGAAGAAGACAAACCTGATCTGACTGGCTGATCTGGTTGAACACTTTAAATACTCGGCTTACGATTTTATTATTTCGTCCATGTGACGTGAAACTGTGATTGCTGAATTACTCCTGAATGAACAAAACTTAGTGTCTGTTCAGAAGGACCACAGTTCTGTTAGAACACTCTCCAACACTATATATATATAT